GAGTTTTAACGAACAAAAAAAAAAAAAAAAAAAAAACAACAACGTAGAGTTCCCCAAGATAGAAAGGTCCTGACCTCCCACCGATTTAGACAGTACTGGAGTTTTGAGAAATTTTGCCAGCCCTTCTCATAGCCATACTTAGCATTCCATAGTAAGAGTTACTATCTGGCTCCCAGTGGCCTGACACATTGGAAACATGCGCTCCCTGAGCTAGGGGACCAAAGCTGCAACTGCTACTAACTCACTGAGAAACCTCTTATGGTCCAAGTTTTTGTGTGTTTGAATTATGTACTAGCCCTCAAAGGCACTTAATGAAGCCAGTATGACTCTGGTGACCCAGGAAAGCAGAGCCTGTATTTCAACCTGGCATCACGTGGAGGATTCTGGATGTAGAGGGAAGGGACTATTTCTTGTCATAGCTTCTTTGATCTCATCACTTACAAATATTTTTCTGTAAGCTGAAAGTTGGTCAAGGTTTCAGTAATGGCAGTAAACTAGCAGACATGAGACTTCAGGTATCATCAGGCTCTCCTGGGAGGGCAAACCAGGTCACCAGGAAGGGCTGCTGCAGGACCAGGTCACCCCCGCCCTATCCTGCAGCACTGTCCTGAGAAGGTGCCCTGCCAGGTTTCAAGTTTACACAGGTGGCCCACCTTTTCCCAGACACAAGAGCAGAGTTAATGGGAGCCCACTGTTCTCAGCAGTGGAGAACAAATGAGGGTAGGTCTGGGGGGGCTGTATGAAGACAGGACATGGGTGAGGTCACACCCAGGCCGCAAAGCACCCCTTGGGGTGGGGGGTCTTCTGGCTTTGTTACAGGGTTGAGGAAAAAGCCCAAGCCCCAGGAATACTTGCTGCAGTGTGTGGCCACTCAAGGGCTCCCTCCCTGGGGAAAGGCCTGAGGGGCCTGCCGTGAGGCATATGCTCAGCAGTTATGGCAGTGTTCTGTTTAATGTCAATAATAAAAGAGCATTTGAAACCCACGTTCTTGAGCTGTCAGCACCAACTGAGGAGTACAGGGCCTTTTGACTGGCCCTGTGTGTGTGTCAGAATTCCTGCCACAAGGCTCCACACTGGTGGCAGTGGGCAAACGCTGAACAAGCAGAACCGGCTGAGCAGTGGTATGAATCTCATTTATTTAAAACAGTATTTCTCACCTTTCTCAAATTGAAGACTGCAAAAAATAAAAGCAGTGTTCTCTTGAGCTGTCTTTAACCTGGGGAGCAGTGTTGCTGCCTCCCACCCTGTGCAAGACCTAAGCTGGCACAGGCCAAGCTATCCCACCTTGCTTTACAAAACAGTCCCTCCTGAAGCTTAGTCAAATAAAACTATTGTACACAACATTTACATTAGAAAAGATAGCTGGCCTCCAGAAGCCAGGTGTGTTCTCTTAAGTGAAGGTCGCGCCACAGTTGGGACATCTCCGCTTCCTCAAGGCAAAGCAGCAGATAAACCCAAAGGGAAACAAGATGATGGCCAGGAAGATGCCCAGGAAGGTGAAACAGTCCTCCAGAACCCCGACTCTGTGGAGAGAGTAGGCACACAGGTTAGGAACCCATGGGACCCCAGGAAGCCCTTTCATACCCACAGTGTGTGAGCTCCCCAGGTCGGCCGGAAGAGGCAGCCCCAACCCAAGCCACTGCAGTAAACAAGACTCCTTCCCGAAAGCTGAAACAACCCCCAAGCCAAATCACTTTAGGGTATTTCCCCCTGTTGAAGAGTTTTTAGATTTTTTTTCCATGCCCAAGGAAAATGCCCTACAAGAAGTGATTAGAATTTGGGGTTTTGTTTCAGTCCTAGGGACTCAACCCAGGGCTTTTTGCACTAAGCTACATCCCCAGCTCTTCAAGGTCTTAATAAGTTGCCTGGGCTGGGCTCAAATTTGTGAGTCTGCTGCTTCAAACTCCAGAGTGTGCTGTTTTGTTTTGGGTGGTGGGGTGAGCGAAACACTTAAATCAATCATGTTCACACAATGTCTAGAAGGCCTGAAAGATTTAATCTCCAGGATGCTGCTTCATAAAAAGTGCCGTTGAACAGTTTCAGTGACTTGAGGTCATCACTCAGTCAAGGGTCTTTTCAGAGCCTCCAAAGATAGGAAGCAGAAGCCCTATAAAGTTCACATGTAAATAGCTCAAGCCATTTCTGGATAGTTCTGGACCCAGAGCTGAAATTAAAATGAGAAGTGTCCCTCCCACCAGAAAGAGTCTAAAGAATTAGTCCCAGGACTCGGTGCTCTTCTTTCACTGGGGGAAATGCCTTTGTGTGGACTGCTGAGGACAGAGATGACAGTACTGGGGGGTGTCCCTCCAGCCAGTCCTGAAGGACTCGGACACACAGGGAAATGCAGCGAGCTCTCCTTTGCTAAGGGGAGAGGCCAGAGGCCCCATGCACCATCCCAGGTCCCAGTGTCTTTGAACCAAGCAGTTTCCTTCTCTACCAGCACTGTCCACCTTCTGTTAGTGTTTAACTGTCCCTTATGATCACCGGGGCATGGAAGCAACGGCTCTTCCTCCTGTCACCTTAAGTAGAGAGAAGAAAGCTCACAGCTTACAAGATCAAGTGTAAAGGAAACCAAGGCAGCACGCTGCCGGTGGCCTTGCCAGTCCCAGCTGGACCAGCTTGAGCCTGCACACTGTGGCAGTATTCTTCCCTGGACCAGGACCCAACCCTCCCTGCTCTGGGGGAAGAGTAAGGGTGTGAGGAAATACACAAGGACATTCTAAAAGTCAGATTTTCAACTGCTAAGAACAAGTCGAACCCAATGCTTGCCTGCCTCCGACCCATCCAGAGAGCTGCCCAAACAAACCCACGGTAGACAGGAAGTTCCAGCAGCACCTCCCTCCGTGCCCAACTCCAAAAGGGGAGGATTCTGGTCAGCCAAGTTCAGGACAGAGTGTTTCTCCTGAGAGTGCCAGCATCCATTTGCCCACAGGCTCTGCTCCCGAGGTAAAGACTTCTACAGAGCTTCATTGTGCCCTGAAGTCCAGTGGGCCAGACCTTTAGGTGTCACCATGATGGGCTAGGCCACAGGCATCCTGTGCTAAGGCAGCACACAGGTCATGAGTGCTGAGTTTGTGCAGTCCAGATTACCACTTACTGTGACTTACCAAAATACCCTCTTTCTAAGAACCACGATCGCCTGGTCCTCACTTTGCCAGGCCAGCCCACAGCCACCCCTGCAAGTCCAGCCAGGCAGAAAACTTCATCCAGCACACCTTGCCCGGGCTGAGGGTTCTCTGACCAGAGGTCAGACTGGCTGAAGAGCCATGCTCAGCTGTCCTCAGGCATAAATAGAGTGAGAGGCCAGGCAGGCAGTCTTAGGGCCCCTGGGACTCCAGGGCCTCATTGTGTTTCTTCCCAGCACCTACATGACAAGTCTGCTGCACATCCCAGGTAGAAAATGGTCCATGAGCTGGGCGAGATGATACACTCTAGAAGGCTGAGGCAAGAGGATCACAAGTTTAAGCCCAGCCTGGGCAATTTATCAAGACCCTGTCTCAAAAATATTTAAAAGGCATTCAATCCCTAGTACTGGGGGAGAAGGGGGTTCCCCCATGAAAAAGCAAAAGGGAGCCAGATGAGAAATTTTGCAGAGGAGCCTTCCCTCTAAAGAAGTCCCAAGGTTACCTGCCCCACCATCCAGCATGCAAGGAAACCAGAGCCTCCCAGGACCACCAAGGTAAGGAGAGTGACAGGCTGAGCCTCTATTGGGCTGGTTCTGAGAACCTGAAACAGAGTGAGGGGTGGAGCCCAGCTTCTGCTGCAAGAGGCTGTAAAGGCCAATGGGCTTCAGTGTCCCGGACAGCTGTGCAAGCCCACCAGGCTATGACAAGCTCCCTGTGTTGTGTCTACAGGCACCATCCCAGCCACGGGCATTTCTGTCCTCTGTGGTCAAGTGTTCAGGAGCAGCAGCCTCTGTCTGCTTCTTCCTAATTATCCAGACCCCAGCCCTTATCTGCACCCCTCTGGGCTCTCGGCACCAGCATTACTTGACACTGTGGTTCCCGACAGGGTCAGGCCACCTTCTGAGGTGGCCTCTTGGCCGCCAGAACCATACTGGGAACCTGAAGAGTAACAAGACATTGGGCCAAATAGCTGGCCTGGCTCCCTTCAACCTACAGGCTCCCATCCAAACTCAACCTGCCCTGGCCAGAGTTCAGGGCCAGTGGCCTGTGCCACCCGCTGCTGACCAGTCAGAAGTGCCAGGCTGAAAGCTGCAAGGTGCCTCACCCTACATACCTTCAGAAGAAACCAGAACACACGTTCCCACACCCCTGCCCACAACCCAGAAACAGAACTTTCCCTAAGTTTACAGCCAACTCACCTGACAGCCAAAGGACCCACACTCTGATGTAGCTATTTATAGGCCTAATTTATCCTGCCTGGTGAGAAGAAGTATTAACTACAGTACTACCCCAATCTTGAAAAGGAGTGGTGTCATAATTCTGAATTTTAAAACCTGACTCCTACTGTGAAAAATAAAATCCAGCCTCTAGGCCAATGTGGATTCAGACAGTCCTGCTGTGAAAGCAAGCAGGAGACCCAGTGTGTTCCCAACAGCCTCTTAATCTCCAAACCCAAGAGGTCCAACTCAGCCGGGACTGTCAACTCTGTCCACAGGCTCAGAACCTAAACCCAACCTGACAGGCCTGGCTGCAGGTGACAGGTCACATGGAGAGGGCTGGGGAGGATATGGAAGCTGGAGAAAGGAGAGAACTAACTCATACTGAAAATTCTTTAACCCCTGACAAGCCTACCAGAGCCAGTGACCACTGGGTCCTCCATGGTGCACAGAGCCAGCCTGGAAGGTTCCTGACACTGCACCTCAGACCGACACGGGCAGACGCAGCAGGGGAGGGTGGTTCAGCAAGCTCTGAGCTGCTGGGAAAAGGTAGTCCCGGCACATCCCAGTGCCCACACCCACAGAGAGTACCCTTGCACCCCCCAGTACCCCCCACTCCACGGGCGCCTCATCCCCACAGGAAGCTGAGGCCATGAAACGGAGTGATGTGGCTGGATCTTAATCCTGCCACTCTGTAGGGAAGGAACCCCTCCACAGACCCCACCCAAGGCCAGGACGGAGGCCTCACCCAGAGTACACAGCACTGAAAGACAGCGTCATCCCTTGAGAAGAGGGGGCAAATGCAGGACTTCCTCTGTTGTCAGCAGCCCTGAAATGGCTGGGGCAGGGCTAGATGGTTCCCAGCCAGCCCCAGAATACCCAGGGTCTCCACTCCAAAAGGACCCCATAATGGACATAGGGAGCTGCCGTAACAGACAGTGCCCTGGGATCTTGAGGAAAACCACCTATCACTCGGAGGCAGCTCTCATTAGCCTGTGCCTGGCACAGCCTAGGCCTCTGAGCAGTAGAGGGCAGGATGGCGTGCAGCAGGCTTCTCAGACTGGGCATGTGCCACCCCTCCAAACCAGGGTGCAGCTGCCATGGCTGGGGGGCTGGGCCAGAAAGCAGCACACGCCTCTGAGGTCTGAACACACACACACACACTCACACCCCTGCACAGCCTGAAGCCCCCCAGCACACTCTGTCACCTCAGGCTGGGGCTGGGCTCCCACTCAGGCAGAAGAGCCCTTTCATTTCCTGACATCACCAGCGGCCCAGGCTCTTGTGGCCCCTGTGCTCACAAAGCCCTCCAGATGCCATTTGTGTCACCTTGTGCCCTCCCTAGCCCCCAGAAGCCACACCTAGGGCCTCTGCATTTTCTCTGGGTCTCCAAGACTCCACTCTCCCCAGATTTCCTCCTACCTTCTGGCTACATCCACAGCTAAGTACCCAATGACAATGACCCAGCCAATACTTGTGGGGGTCCTGCACACATTAGGTACATTCCACTTGTGACCTGTATTCCCAGGGCCCTGGCCAGCCTCTCTACCCTTTAAGGCAGAATGGCCCCACCAGGATGGGATGCAGAAGCTGCCACTTTACCCTGCATGTAGAGATAAACAGGACCCAGATGCAGAAGCCTAGCACGTACATGGACACAGAGTGGGCCAGGCAGCCAGAAGGGGCTTCTGCAGCAGGGCAGAGTGTCATGCAGAGGATGGGTTGAGCACAAGAGTCACTCATCTGCCAGGGGTGTTTATCAATGGATAAAAAGGGAAGGTGGAGTCAGGCACTTAACAGGCTCAGACAAGACGGCAAAGTGATAAGTGACATGGGACTCTTATGCCAAACCCAATCACAGGCGTGTGACTTGGGCAGATTCATGCCAAGCCACCAGGGAGGGAAGGGACACAGCCTGGCTGGGCTGGATCTGGAAAGGGAGGAAGTATAGTCACATGAGAAGTGTCCTGTTGCCAGCCCTCAGATGCCAGACTGAGACAGGCTTCCCTTTTCAGGGGCACATCTCCATTCTATCACCGCAAAGCAGCCACCCAAGGGCCATGCACCCTTTCCACAGACCAAGGGCAGTGCTGGCTGCCCCTCATTCCAGGCTGCTGCTGCAATAGTGGCAGAGCATGTCCTCAGGAAGCCAGAAGCCAGCAGCAGAGAAAAAGTATAAGGTCCCTGGGTACACAGGCCTCCAGAGGCCTGGAGGATCAAGGAGTGCTCTGGTGAGGTATGGTCAGAGGTTGAGGTAGGAGAATCCCCAAGTTGCCCAGCCTAGGCAACTTTGACCCTGTCTCAAAAATAAATTGAGGGGGTGGGGTTTAGCTCAGTGGTTCCACTGCCTGCCTTGCAAACATAAGGTCCTGAGTTCCATCCCCAGTACCAAAAAAAAGTTGGGGGTTGGCACCCTGGAGATATCACTCCAAGGTTCTAACCATAGTGGTGCCAAAAGAGCTCTGTCCTAGCTTTTTGGGGTGGGGGGGCAGTATTGAGAATTGAACCCAAGATGTATCTCTGAGTGAGATACATCTCCAGCCTTTATTTTGATAAGGTCTTGTTAAGTCACTCAGGCTGGGTGCAAACTAGCCTCAGCCTCCCAGAGTACTGGGCTTACCACTACATCTGACGTCTGGCACAGTCCCCCTCAAGGATTAGACACCCCCAAACTTGTACTGTTCTCCAAGGACCCAGTGTCCTCCATCCTGGCCACAACTGCCCTGGGGCACAGAGGAAGCAGCCAGTTTCCAGATGAAGGCGGTACCTCACAAAAGCCCAAGACCTTCCCCAAGGACAAGGGATACAGCATGATCTTGTTCAAGGTTCTATGTCCAGGTTGTGTATACAACTGGGGAGCCCCCTAAGTGGAAGCCACAGACCTCTGAAATGACACAATTCACCTCTTAGGGAAAAGGAAGTTTTAGGGAAAGTACTCCTCACTCTCACAGTAGCCCATCCTCCATTGGCCCCACTGCCCATCTCCTTTCCTCCAAGTTCAGGGACTCGAGCAGAGAAGAGCCTCAGAGTATCTCATTCCCAGACAGGGATCCTCTTCTTGCCTCAGCCTCCCAGAGTGCTGGGATGAGGGCCCCACCACCACCACACCCAGATTCCAGGCATCTTTTTGATGCTCCCTCTAGAGCGCTAGCCCAACACCTCTCCTAAATTTGGGAAATCACTTAAGATGATTCCTCCCAAACGTGGGCCAGCAGAATCTTCCTGTTGGGCTGAGTGGTGACAAGACCTCAGCACAGCAGGACTCTGTAGGCCCAGGACTAGCCTCAGCTCCGGTCCCCCACCTCTGCATGCACCTTTCCGGAAAGGATTCAGTACAGGGCACTACATCTTAGCGTTTCTCACAAAGAAACAGGCCCATTCCAGGCTATGCCCCTCCTTCCCACCAAGTACACTTCAGGAGCTGCCCTGCAGAGACCTGCAAGGAGACAGCCAGGGTCCTGCTCTCCCTCCCCTCTTCCCAGTCTCCAGAGACCAGTGTGTCCACCAGGCAATGACCATGACAATGGAATCCCCCAGTGGACGCAATGACTAGGCCACAGCTCCCTTTACTAGGCACGTGGTCAACTCATGGTTGTGGCATCTCACCCTCTCCAGATGCCCTCATCCTCCTATATAGTTGCCTCCAAGGCTGTGAAATCATTAACTTCTCTACAGCTCTGGGCCTGACACATAAACTTCTGAAATGAAGTCTAAGTCCAAACCTGCTTCTTAATTCCATCTCAGCAACTTCAACTTCCTGCTCCCAAAGAAGGGCTGAAACCCTGCCCTACCAACTCTGCCCAAGCCTCCCCAGACACCTGAGCACCCCCAAGTGCCAAGCCCAAGGACCAAGTCTCACTTGAACTTGAATCCTCAAAATCTACACAGAATAAGCCTTGTGCTGCACCTCGGGCTCCAGAAACAAAAATCCTCAAAGTTTCTATGGCTCCAGTTTGAGGATACAGAAAAAAAAAAAAAAAAAAAAAAGCCACTTCTGCCCGGAACAAAGAACTACGGGGTTTCCTCCTGGGCCAGCTAGCGGCCAGGAGTAACTAAGCCTCGCTCAGATGGAGCGACCCTCACAGCTCTAACCTCTCTGGCCACCTGGACTCCCAGCTCCTTTGTAAACACGAGGACCACCTGATTCAAGTCCTGGGCAAAACAAACCTTCCACCACCTCCTTAATCAACTGCACAGTGGACTTGTAGAAATTGGAAGGAAAAAAAGACAAAAAACCCCACAAAAAACAAAAAAAAAACCTGATTGCCTGCGGGTCCCAGAACCAAGAAGGAACGACGACCCATCGGTCCCCATTGTTAGCATTTCTGCATCCCTCACACTCGGCGTGCAATTCCCCCCAAAATGCACTCAGATCCCCAGGAGGGCGAGTTTACCTCCTCTGCCGCGTAAGTTACCTTCAGAGCCCCGGGAGAGCGCGCGAGCAGTCCCCACACTGCAGCCTCCAGCCAAAGTGCCTCTGGCACCAAGGACCCAGCCCGGCTCCCCCACCCCACGGTCCCGTCACGCGCAAGCTGGGCCGCCCGGGCTGGGACTCACCTGCACACCGGACAGCCTCCGACGACCACGATGGAGTTGGCGGGGTAGCGAGTGACCGTCCGACTGTGGATGCTGTACACCCGAGGGTGTGGGGTGGGAATCCCTGTGGGGGAGGGGAGATGT